GAAACCATCGCAGGTCGCTCGTTTCTATCGCAAATGGCAACGGCGGCCAACACAACGTCGGTGGCCGACGAACTAACCTACTGGCGGTCGTACAACTTGTCGACCTTTAAGCTGCAGTGGCAAAGTCGGTGGCAACCCGGCGTCTTCGAAACGATTGTGGTTTCGAACGCTCTCGGAATGCAGCAGAGCTACACACTCAAAGCGCTCGACCAAGTTACCGGTCCGTGGTCGTCCCAGAGCCTCTTTTGGATGCCACTCAACGACTTGTACTGCGGTATGACCATGAACCGGAGCTTTGTCCGGGGCACGAGTCGCTTCTTTGGCGCCAACATCAGCGCCTTGCCCGCCATCAACTTGGAGGCGTGGCAAGGCATCAAAGTCCTTTCAGGCGTCACCAAGGCCTTGCACGAGTCGCTCGGGCCCTACCTGTCGATCGATAGTCTCTACATTGCACCACCAAATGCACTCGTGTCGGCCGTCAGTACCTTTCAACATACGTTGCGAACAGAGCTCGACGGGTCGACCTACGGAAGAGCAGAGCTACTCGAACTCAGCGTCAACCCGCAACCATTGCTATGGCGAAACCTTACATTCTACGGCGGTGACCCGTCGTGCACGTCGTCGTCCTCGTCGTCGTTTGTGCAAGATCAATTTGGGTTTTTCAACGACTGCACCCGTGTCATTCCCTTTGGCCTCATATTGACCGAGGCTCATCTCCTCTGGGCAGCGTGGGTCACTGCGCAGCCTCTGCCGTCCTCCATCTGCACGTACTCGACAGCGATACATTGCGTTACGTCCATAGCGGCTGCCACGTCACTGCAAGCCAACCTCCCCCCGCTACCAGATGCTTTGGTATCTACCCTACGTGCAGCGACGCAGGGCGTGAATATCATGCAGTTTGCGTCATCTTCCAACGCGACCATGCAGCTCCTGACACAGCCGCTGCTACCTCATTCGGACAAGGACGATGATGTATGGACGGTTTTTGGGTGGTGTCTTCTGCATGACTGGGCGATGGGGACGCGCGAAGTCGTATCGTTTCAAGGCGACGTCGCGTCGATGACGCTTCTCTCGTCTGCCTACGACAGCCAGGCGCATGTGACCAGCAACGCGGCGCTGCAAGTGGCAACGAGCCACCTCTACTACGTCGTGCTGGCCTCGTCGTGTGTCTTGGTCGTCCTCGGTGGCATCTTGCTACTGCATGCGATACACTGCGGGTTTCGCCTCCACAGTAGCAACCTCTGGCGCTTCAACCGGCTCGCAGGCGGTGTCTGGCTCGGTCGGGCGCTCATGGCCTTCCGCGGCCTCACCGCCCTTGTCCTTCAAAGCACATCGCAGCTGGCATTACGTCGTCAGAACAGCGATTCGTTCTTAGTGTTAGCACCGCGGTCCTGGCTCGATACCGCCATCGTGGCCAGTGAAGCGACGTGGCTGAGCTACAGCCTGCACGAACTCCTCTTAGTCGGCTGGCCAAACGCAATCGTCACCTATGGGCCAACCGCGAGCTTGGCGCTGTGGGTCGTTCTGTGTGCGCTTGACGTCGCGCTGCCCGTCCTTCCGGTGGCCTCGATACAGCGAACGTGCGTTGGGAATGACATGGACTATGGACTTGCGTGCTCGGCTGGCAGCCTCGAGGTCGGTAGCCTTGCGCGCTTCCTTTTCCTGCTTGGTCTTGAGCTCGTTGCGGCTATCGTGCCCGCGGTTCTAGGTGGACGGCGACGCCGGCCGCCATCGGCGGCGCACCAAAGCCTCTTGCTCCCGGCGGTAAGTCAAGCCTTCTTGGTACCAGTCTCGACGCACGGCTCGACCATCACGGTGGACAAAGCGAGCTGCGTCCTTGTCGGACTTCTTCCGTTTCGCTGGTTTGGTGTACGCTACGTGTTTGCGTTGCGCTCGTGGACGCTTCTGCTCGACTCGACGTCGATCGGCGATGTGGTGCTTCTTGAAGGCCACGCACCGAACGCAGGCGCTGCGCCAATGGTCGCTGACGACGCGCCGGGCCCGACACGACTGCTGTACCGCGCTCGGCGCGTTGTCGCGGCCGCTGGGTTTGTCTACATGGTCTCGTCCATCGTGAGCTCGGTCTCGTTCCTCGAAATTTCCCGTGTCAACTTGTCCAATGATTTTTTTTGGCCCAACTTCAACGTCACGGGCCACCACGCGTTTTTTGC